AAGAGAATCCAGTATGACATCAAGCAGATCAAGGTGAGAAGAGAAGAGAATCAGTTGTCAGATTTTTTTCATTTCACCTTTACTTTCTTATGGACTTTTGATATGTAAACAAATGTACTGTTCATGTTTATGAACGTTTTTCTTTCAGATGTTCAAAGGACCAGACCGTCACATTGATATGATCTTTACTGCACCTTCATCTGCCGTATGTGGGGTATCCATGGAAACCAATGGAAAGAAGGAGTATCTCATCTCAGGTACAATGATAGAACTTTAATTTGAGCTTAAGCTTTGTTTTCTAAAGGCTAATACATCATTTCAGGAACCCAAACCTACTACTCTAAACTTTTAGTTACTGAATAGTAACAGAGCACTCTCAACTTGTGTTGATGTTTTAAATGGCAGCATATGGCTGAGTGATATACAGTATTAGAAATGATATTTCATTTAAATGCTCTCAGGAGTTTTCAAGAGTTACTGATCAGACAGCAGAGAAAATAAAAGGTCGTGAAAGGATGAACACGGACGTCTTCTGGTTTCTCCATCTTAGACTGATTCAGCATAGCCCAAATTACAGAGTGGACGAGGCAGAGGGCTGTGCAGGGTAGCAATTGCCTTTAAAGCTGAAGTTTTAGGGGAGGAGGGGGGTAGCATAATGAGGGAAGTCTGAGCTTGTAGCACACAGTAACTGCTGAGGTTGTGATTTCAAAGCACACATTCCATTCTGCACAAAGGAGACACTCGCTAGGTTTTCTTTTGCAACTACAGCAAATCAGAGAAGAAAGCTTCTTAGAAAAATCTGTTTTGACACTGATCTGCTTGTCTAAAGCTCAATACGATACTGTTTTCAGATTGTTTTCCTTTTTCTTCTACTGTTTTCAGACTTGGAAGTGTTTTTCAGTGAATCAGAGCTTTGACTTGACCTCCAGTAGTCTGTGAAACCATAACAAAAACTAGCTGCCCCTGAAAGGGTACAGTTTGATCCTAAACTAAACAAGGTTTCAACTTGTTTTGCCATGTGCTTTTAAGGACATGTGTTTTATCTATTTTCTCAGCAGTGATTGTTGCGTCTATGTATTGTTTTGTCTGACACATGTTCTCCAGGCAAGGCAGATGGGAGCGGGAAGATGCATGTGACCCTGTGTGATCTCATCATGCCTTGGGAGTCCATGAGTGCCACCCAGAAGAAGAGCTTGAGCCAGCGCTACGAGATGGGCTGTGAATGCAAGGTGACCAGCAACAGAATAGCCCTACTAGACTGAGGACAATGATAGTGAACTCATTTTCTTTCCCAGTTTGGTTCTAACTAACTACCTCAATATTATTTGCTTGATCTACATGAATGTTTCTTAATCAGTCTAGGATTAGAATTCCTGGGTTTGTGATGTTTCAATGTGTACTGTTCACTCTCCAGTTTATATGGTCCATATATGGAAAATACTGTTTTGTACTAATCACAGTTTTGATGTCACATTGGCGTTGAAGTGATAAGCAGCGTTACTGCAAATAGAGCTGCAGTTAATCTGCAGAGTTATTGCAGTGTAAGATGTGTGGGGAAAAGATTCAACTTTGCACTTTTCCTGCTTTCAGGAAGCAAATGTCTAGTTGCAGCTTCCAAAAGATCCAGACATATGAAATGAGTCAATCAAGTTTATTTTTTCCGACTTGCATGAGAATTTCAGTATGAACTCAGTTTGTCCCATACTCTACGACCCAGAGTGCTTTTTAAATACAACACAATATAGGGCAGCCAGTCAGAACATACATATATCAGTCTGTTTATTTTGAGGGCTAGAGTGGTTGGAAAATGTTCATGTAAAATGAATTACAGTTTGCTTTCCTGTCCATGTAATTACTGAATAATAAGTCTTAGGATACCAATAGTCTGTGATTTTAAGGTATTAAATGGCAGAACTTATTCTTAAAGCAAAAGGCTTTGTACCCTAAATATTGCATAGTTTACCATTGTTCTGTTGTTGTTGTGACCAGATTACCCGCTGCGCAGCCTTCCCATGTGAAGTCAGCACCCCGGAGGAGTGCTTGTGGACAGATTGGGTGACAGAGAAGATCATCCATGGACGCCAGTCCGACCACTATGCCTGCATCAAGAGAGGAGATGGTTCGTGTGCCTGGTACCGTGGAAGTGCTCCACCCAAGAAGGAGTTCCTGGACAACGAGGACCCGTAATCCAGTCTCATACCTGTCTCCACTATCTGACGTTCTTTAAAATACCATATATCAAAGATCCGACATAAGGCAGAACAACCGAAAACAGAAAACTGCACCAAATTTAATTGTTAAAGTATAGATTAGTTAACAATTTTCATTAATTATTGGAACGTGAAAGAGTGGAAGTGGTCAAATGATGATGTGATTTCTTCTCCAAGGCTTGCACTCAAAACATACACCACCATTATATGACGGACAATCCTAATTTGCAAGCACTTTCTGCCCCTAACAGCGCTTAATCTTTCTTTCCTTAAATGACTGAAATGGCCTTTCAGTCTTGCAAAGTTGCAGACTTTTGCAGACTCTCAGCTCATTTCACATCTTTAATTTGTTGAGTCTTAGTCCAAACCCCAAATAAAGAGACAGCTAAAATATTACTCTCGCTTAGTGTAGTTTCCCAAAGCAATGCCAATTGGTCCAGTCAGACAAATGGTGAGGCAGGACTTCCCAGATAGTTCAAAGATGAACTGAGACCAAATGAAGAGCATTAAAACAGGCAGATGCATGGGGTTTTAGAAAAAGGAAAATTAGAGACCAAAGTCAGTGTCACTCCACATAGATTTGTGTGGGACAAAGCTTACAGTTTTGCTGCTGACCAAATTCTAGAAAGTGTAACTCTAGTACATGGGGACAAGTTGTCTTTTTTTTCCTCCACAGAGGTGAATACACTTTTCCTTTTAATCACAAAAATCTGAGGGACCTTTAAGCCCCTGGTAGAAAACGGAAGGAACGATAAGGCAATACCTTAAAAACATTTAAACACTTCTTGGCAGGGAACTTCTAGTTCCTTCCTAATTTGGTATATGGCATTGTGTAATGGAAAAGGACTCTGCTTGCCTTGTGTCCTCATTTCTTTGTGAAGTGTTTCTAACTAATTCTGTCCCTGCCTCTATACTCCTTTAACCCTTTCTGTCCCTTAACTACACGAATGCATTTGTCTGTGCTGTTTTTTAATGTTAGATATCTGCCTTTTTAAACGTCATTTCTCTGAAATCAGTCTCCATCCTGATTGAACTTTGCACTTTTGTGGGAATTGCTACAGGAGGATTGAATCCTCTTATCAGGATTTGTAACCCTTCTCTTCTCCCTTCTCTCACAGGAACGTCATTGAATGCCTTTATGCTTACTTTTGCAGATGTTCTTGTGACGTTGTTTCTATAAGGCTTAGGGTAGTGATACTGAGATGTCATTTACAAATGCTTGACAGGAATTCTCCAGTCTCGTGTTGTAGTGTGCTGTCACCTTCTCCGCATATTGTTAGTTGACGTGCCACAAGAATGCGTTTCATGGGACTCCAGGAAGAAGGCCTACGTAAGACTTTAGTTGCCATGGTAATGGGAAGACCCCAGTTTTACCCTACATTTACCAGGCTTGTAGGATTAACATGCAAAGGCACAGTTCTATAGCATCCACAGATTCTTCTGCATTGGGAGAGAAAAAACAAAGACCGGTTTCGTCCCTCTGTGAGGTCAATAAACTCTGTTTATTGGCAGCCTGGGAGGAAGCCATGGTGAATTATGTTGTTGCAACTGTCCCCTGATTGGGCACTGCCAAGTCATGTGACAGATGAAGAGTAAGGTGTGAGGGTAGTAGTTGCTAGGCATTTTGTCAGGGTGAACCATAGTGCCACGATGCAGACAGAATGAGAGAGGGAGGGAGGAGGACAGAGAGGGGACCACTGTGGAATGGAGGACAACAATACGTCATTTTGGTGGGTTGGGGACAGTTGATGAAGGTGGATTTCAACATTCCTGCATTGTAACTAAAGCCGTTTTTGTGTGTGGGGCAGTTTGTTTTAAAGGTTCTTTTAAAACTGTATAAAATCAGAACAGTGATGTAGGCCAAACAGAAAGCAGCACTGATGTGAGTTACACTCAGATTGATGCCTTTTCTATTTTGGCCTAACCAGCTAACTTTGAGGCTGACGCAGAGTTTAAGAAAATGCTTATCGAGCTGTCTCAACGGCTTACAGTATTAGGAGACGTGCTTTAAATTAAAACCTTTATCCGTAATCATCTTACCTTTTTAAAACTTGCCATAAACAAGTGCATAAGTCTGCAAGGGTAACGTTGGCAATGTTTAATATGCATAATGCTATATCTACTTAACTGCTTTGTATTAAATGTAATGGAATATAAATGGCATAATTTAAATGTTTGTTGTTGCCATGTTTCTACATTTTTACTGTGTCATTACCTTTGATTTATATTTGTGTGTTATTTTTACCAGTCTTTTTGCCTTTTCTTGAAGATTTGCTGAAAGTACAGAAATGTGAGAGCTCTTGCGTGCTAACCACATGAGAGAGCAGCGGTATGATGAGAACCAGACTATGCATGTCTTTGATGCTTTGTGTAATTCCTATGTGGATGTTCACTTGATGGGCAAATATACAGCATTATCAAATAAAATAAAACTTAAAGAACATTCGGTCTGTCTGTCTGTTAGATTCTACAGTCTGTTTTTCATCCAAACATATGGAAGTCCTTTCTGAAGCACAGATTTAATGACGTCAACTTTGCTGATCCCTGCATGCTGGATTTATTACAGGTAGTAAACAGCCCAGAACTGCACATTAGGGCTGCAGCTTCCTTTTACTGACAACACAAACATCATATTCCCACCCTGGCGACCCTGTTACTCATTTTATCATTGTAGATCAGACACTTCCCTCTTGTGGTGAGACTGTGACATTGCAGCTCTGCCAAACACTATTTTCAAAATTTCTCAATTGATTTTTAACAGCTCAGTAAACAGTCTTACAACAGAATGCATAAAGATACAACAGTCTACAAGTGTGGCTGTATTTATTTCATCTCTGAAAATTATAAAATATGCATCATACTTAAGATGTGGCTGTACGTGTATGAGGATGTTGCAGACTAGGTCAGAAAAACTAGGACAGAATGTTCTACTTCAAGGGTTTTTTGTGTATAAGGCACATTGTGAAGGAGTAGCAGTAACATCTCAATACAGATCATTAACAGTCCATAACATTATCATCTCATTCATATATTTGGCGATACATACACTGTAACATCTCATAAACCTGCATTAACAAAAAGGGCCCATATCCTAAATTTTCTTGTATTTTATTTTTTCCATGAAGACCACTTCTAAGGTTTGTGTGAGTTTATGCGCCAAAAACAACTATAATTCATTTTATATAACCACAGACTTGGATCTATGACGAATTAAACAGGAAGTTTTTGTTGTTTATTAAGACTAATGTAAATGTATATGGACCTCCATTCTGATCATTGTGCCTCATTCAAAAGATACACCTATAGCTTTAGCAGGAATGGGTGGGACTAAACTTCTGTGAATGTAATTTTGTTATGTCTTTGTGACATCATAAAAACAGCAAATTCAAAATGGGCTGTTTTTGCTACTTACTTTCCACATATGGACTGGTGGAGTGAACCGTCCGTATTAAAACTTTTAATTAACGTCACCATATCAAACTCATTTATTAAAAAAAAAAAAAAATAGAAAAATTCAGTATTTCACAATATGGGCCCTTTAACCTGTTTCAAGTACTAAATTGACCTGTAAAGCTTAAAACCTCTTAATTAAAAGTTCCTGAGAGATCAGTATGCTCAGCATTAACATTACACACCCCTCTCCCTATTCACAGTTAAAAACAGCTCCAAAACAAAGTCTACTCATGATTAGTTAGCTCTGACTGTTGGCACCAGAAAGGCTTAATGACCAATTCTAACAGGCTTGTCCAATTATTTTCTAATCAAAAGTAAAAAAATCAGCCTCTGTAAAACGATCATAAAAACAAAGTGATTCAAACCATTTTCAGTGTAATCAATGATGTAAACCAAGTGTAAATTCTGATCCATATTCAGCCCATTCCAGTACAACTCACAGTCCACATTTTATTCAACTCCAGCTGGTAACTCACCTGAGCCAGGTTATCAGTATTCCTCAGCTTGTAACCTGCTCTATCTGGTTTATGAGTGCTGGGAACTGGATAAATACAAACAGGCTAGAGGTCTTTGGGAACTTAAAGACCCCATTTCAGACCATACATCTTAATCTAAGACTTTTTTCAAAGTGAAACACTTTTAGATGAGTAACATGAAAAAAAAGACTAATGTGTCCTACATGTCTGCATTTGGGCAAAAATTGGCCACTCCCTATGGTCCAGCTCAGGATTGGCCCAGGTCCCTCAATCCTAGGAGAATCAGGTACAAGCATCACAAGCCCTTGTTGAAGTAGACATATTTGACACTGTCACCATACTGAGAGATGATGGACTCTCTGAGCTCTGGCTCCAGCTTGGACACAGCCAGAGAGCTGGGAAACAGAAAGATTTGGATCAGAAATATGCCCAACTCCTAACTACAGGTTAGCTGATAGATACTACTATCCATGCAGCAGTGGTTGCTTTTTCATCAAGCTAAACATCTTAGCTTATGCCCTGATGGGCTTTTGTTCTGATATTTACCATCTCTGTGGAAACAGTGAACAGGCTGCAGGCACCATGACGATCAGGCTGAAATACAGAAAGGAGAGCTGGTGAGTAATGTTTAATGTTTGCAATAACCTTAATTCTGATGACTAATAGTGAAGTATAGTAAGAGCTGATAACAATCATCAATGTAAAGAAATAAGTATCACTTACAACACTCCAACCATCATCACTTGCAACGGTGCATGCAGAAATGTAATTTTCTGAAAAATAAATAAATAAATAAATAAATAATGTACATATTTTATAATACGGAACATAAGAGAAACAACAAAAAGGAAAGAAGTTAAAGGGGAATGCCACCAATGTTTCATAATTTTTGCATAACTGAATAGTTAAGACATAAACACAGTCTTAAGAGTTGTTTGACATGAAATGAACCATAAACCAGAGTCAGCATTGCTCACTGTGGTGGTGATAGGAACCAGGCAACTGAAGAGTTTAATACCTCTAAAAGCTACCATAGATAACATTTTAGATAACATTTTAGCCTAATGCATTCACAGTGGAGAGGTACATGTAGGGCACATGTATCACCACTACTGTAAAGAAACCAGTAAGTGTGTAGGTGCATTACAGAAAAACCATGTCACATCTCGATCTCAGTGGCTGAATTATGCAAAATTGTGGAAAAAATGAATAATGAATTCCTCTTTAATAAGTTTAAGGTCTCTATTTTTCTGGTTTATTTCTGACAGCTCAGTGAAAGCGCACTCTGCCGTACCTACCTGCATGAATCTATGTTTTTCTAGTCTCTGCATTATAATAGGGAGGATGACTGTAGAGAAAGAGAGAGAAACAGGACCAGGCTTAGAGTTTTTTCACAGGACAGAAGGAAGGGATTTCAACACACACCAAATGCTTGTTTTCTACTATCCTCATTGTCATAATTGTTTTCAGGATACGTAGATTTAAAGGCCATTTGTGTCAGTCATACATTATGTTGTAGCATGGGGGTGTCTAGTGTGGGAGGAATCACTTAATATTCACCGACTACCAGTGGCCAATTCAGTACCACAGTACCAGCCCTCTCCTCTAACTGCAGTCTGCTTGTACTTACTCATGCCTGGTGCTGCCATGGTGACTCGAGAAATGACCACCTGTGTGATGCCCTTGACTGCTGCTTGCTGTGGCACAGAGAAAGAATGAACAGTGGCTGAATATCTCAACACTTCACAGAAGCTTGATCAGATACAGAAAGAAAGTTATCTTATCAGAGCCTAGCGCTGCTGTAGTGGTGTTTATTCAAAACCCCAAGGACACTCAGCCAATTTACGTCTGAGTTCTGTTCTACTTCCAAACACTCCTGATACAGATCAGGTTTGGTTTTGGAGTTTTCATGACGAAGAGTGTGATGGTAACATTAGAACTGGATGATATGAATAAAATACCACATTGCACACACACCTAGCTGTCGTTTTGGAGATTCAGTGAACCCAAAATGTGACCATCTTTTGCAAATGGTGGAGACAAAACACACAGGCATCTTCTTCAAGGCTGATTCACAACAGCTGTGGTTGTTTAAATTTCTTATTTATTGCCCTTACAGTGGATATGGGCATTTTCAAGTGTGTAGTTACTATTTTACAGCCATTGGCTGATTTGTAAGAAAGGTGCTGTATAAATGAAACTTATTATAATAATAATAATTATTATTATCACTATGAAAGTCAACACGCTTTTGTCTCATTTCATTTGTGTATTCTCTATTCTTTCCCATGCTGATGCACTAAGGAAATTTGGCCTTTGTATCCTCAAATTTTAACCCATTGAAACAGGAACCCATGGATGGCTCTTGAAAGTTCCTGAAGACACAAGCGAACTTGAAAAATGTGAAATAGAAAAGGGAACATGCTTCAGTTCCATTTTGTCCACAGTCATTTCTATGGGTGACAGTAACTGTGACATCTAGTTTTGTTATCAAAATCATCACCACAAGATGAATGGACTTTTCACAAAATATGATGCAAAAAAGGACAAAAATAGAGATACAAGGTTTTTGCACAACAGTAACTAAATTTTTTAATCCAGAAAAGCTTACACTGCTGGATAACTTCAGGCAGATGTGTTAGGAATTATAACAGAGCAGAAAACGAGACTGCCAAGTGATCATTACAGGCTTGACTGAACACCTTTGAGGAAGAGAGCTGAAATGTACAGAGCCAAATTAGTGTTATAACTAAAATGTATCCAAAAGGGTTAATGACACACCAAACCATTTGCCAGTGCAAATGCCCAGAGGCTCTGTTTCTCCCTCAGGCTTTCTGCTTATATTTTTGAGCATATAGTAGTACTATCATTATTGCTCAATGTTACTCACTCTTGAGTGGCCAAGCTTATTTCCATTTTCATCCGTGACCGCGATGCCATTCAAGATTTCCCTGCGTATGACAGAAGAAATATTAATATGGAAACGCTGCACTGGCCCAGCACAGCCCAATTAGAAGAGACAAGAATAAAAGAACATCACTGATGACTACAGGACTCACTGTTGTCTCATCATGGGGATGTTTACACAGTTAGCTGCAGCCACGGCTACAAAAGGCACCCAGCGAGCCACCAGAGGCGGAGCTTTCTAGAGACACAGCAATTATCAGCATTCAGACATTAATTATCATGCATTAAGATGGTTCAGCTGCCTTTCCAATTTGTTGATAAAATGACTGTGTAACCAACAGTCTCCAGTGGCAGGAGATAAATATTAATTATTCTTTCCTTATGCCTATACAGACTGAGAGTACCTTTGTGTAAAGGTTCAAACCCACAGCAGTGGCCAATGCAGTGCTTGTCGCTGTTGCATAAGCCACCCCAATCTGTCTGGAGGAGGCAGGAAGACACATGAGAAAACTGTTTAGAAAGACTCCACTACACTGCTACTGATTCCGAGATAATAAACAGCACATAGAGCGACTTCTGAGTTCATTATAAAATCTGTTCTTTCTGACAACGACTAAAAAAACAATTACCAAACACTAACGAAAATAAAAACATGCAAAAAATCGTAGGGTTTTACTTGGGTGTGATTGGAGAGGCAGCATTGCGGTTGGTGTAGTTGACCAAAGCGTTGAAAGACTGATTAACCCACTGCCAAAACACCACAGCAGGAACCGTCCTGGAGGAACACATACACAGCAAAGTGTTTCGGAGACAACAGCTATTAACACATGCAACAATGCAGAAATCTGTACAAGGGCAAAACATCCAACATTCAGGCAGCAGACAAAAGAAAAAGCAACTAAAACTGCAAGCATCGCACCAATCTGCAAACATTTTACAAAAAGACAGAAGGTACCGCTGACAAGTAAGGTCTCAAGAGTGACTGTGGACGTATAACTTTAGGTAACACTTCAGTACAAGGGGACAGTGTAATGCCCTTGTCATGCACTTATTAAGCTAAACTACTAACAAAACACTAGTTGATGATTAACTAGCTGTTTATTATTACACTATTAAGCAGTAGAATTAGCCATAGTCCTGAGCCCTTCTAAATCCTCTGTTTAAGGCTCATCAAGCAAGTATTTAGTAATTAGCCATCACTAGTAATTAGCTGTCATTTGCTTCTAAAAGTTGAAACACATAATTGAACTAAGAATGATAGGCTAATATTATTTAGAACTTTGTAGAAATGTGTGTTTTTTCTTATAATATTTACAATATTTTTTTCTTATATTATTTTATTATGTATAATGCATACAAACCAAACTACAAAGAAATTTCAAATCTTTTTCCCTCATCTTGCCCACTCCTTGATTCGGTCTCAATAAGGCTTAATAAGTGCTTTAGTCACCCTAGTTTCTCTCTAAGAATGTAGTAATGGGGCAGTTATTTGGTGGTTACTGGCTTGATAAATTATTTACTAGTTATTGGCTTGATAAGGCAAAATAATAAAATGAACCTTAACCCTGGTTACTTCTTCATAATGTAGTAATGAGTAGCCAGTAAATTACAAACTTAACAGGTGCATTATAAGGGCAGTACATTGTCCTTTAGTCTAACAATGTGATACTGAAGTGTTACCTTATTTTTTACAGTCAGCAACTCAAATTTGTAGATAACTGTAAATATTTTCAGCTCTGCTCATGGGTGACTGGGGACCTGTAGAACTGCAGCATGAAGCCTGTGATGGCCATGCCCCCAGGCACTTGGAAAGACATTCTGCCAATCAGGTTCATCCTGTCGCCAGTGTCAGGGTGAAATGCTGAGTCATAGAGCTTCTTGGCATAGTGCAGCTGTTCCACAGTGGTACCTGGAGGGACAGACCCTGCTCTGGAGAAAGGCAAAGACAGAGACGAGGGCAGAAGCAAAGGGAGAAAGGGAATTAATGAGAGACAGAAAGGGAGGGAAAGAGAAATCTGCTACCCACTGAACTGAACTGAGTCTGTGATTAATAAATCTGATCATTTATCAGAATAAACAAAAACAGCTTGATTTTAGTAATGACCAATTCAAATTGTGTCATTATTATATAATTGCTTATTATCTGATAGTTGTTAGGAATTCAGCACATTTCAAGGCTGTATGTAGAGAAATATAAACAATGTGAAAGTGAAGGGGATAAATGTAGAAACGTTCAGCGAGAAACAGACATCTCGCACTGTGCAAAAGAACTTGAGAGAAAATGATATGTAAAGCTATGTATCTGGGCCGTAAGCATTTACTTGTTTGAAAAATACTAACATTAAAATAACTACAAATAAACAAATAAGCAATACATATTAATTTTAGGTGTGTGTGAGTGTGTCAACCATTTCTAAAGCTCTCATTACTTTTTGTTGTATTTATGTTTATTTGTATTTAGTTTAAAGTTATACAGCGTTTTACTGGACAAAAAACACTCACTGCCAAGATAAACAGTTTAAACAATTCTCTGGACTGCCGCACAGACTGTATGTGCTGCCAATATGACACTGCACTTCACACTCCAGTTCACAGACAACATTGCCATTATTTGGATAGTATCTGAGTTTTTTGCTGCTTACCTGCAGCTCTCCACTAAAGCTTTCGCTTCGTCCAGTTTGGAGTCAGAAAGGAGAGCGGTGCGACAGTCCGTAATGTTGAAGAAATGTTTGAGACGTCCCATGAACGTGGACTGATCCCAGCGTGGGGCATCAATGTCAAAACCACTCAGAGCCGCCATGGTGCACTCTCCTGTCCCACGGCTCTAAAAATGGATAACAACAGGGACAATATGATCATTCCAAATTTGATGCCTCCAAAATGCTCCAAAAAAAGTGGGACAGGTTCTTCTGTCATACAAGACTTCAGCTGCATAATTTTACTCTGTTGTTGTATTTTGAGCCTAATAATGCACCACACATTTTCAATAGGAGACAGGAGGTAGACCAAGCTAGCAGCTGATATATAAAACATGCAAAATGTTTCTTGGCATTGTTATGCTGAAATAAGCATGGATGTCCCTGAAAAACACTTTTTTTGGCGAAGTGGTGAGCCTTGACCCACCCTCTCTCATAAAAGACCAGGCCTTCCACAATGTTCCCCCCTTTTTTCAATGCATTACAAGCATCGGTTTTAGAATTAGCGTAAATTTACAAAAAACAGTGAAGTTGGTCAAATAAAAATGTTCTTGAATATCTTGTCTTGTACTGTTTTTGTTCAAATACAGATCAAAGTAGATTTATAAGTGAATGTCTTCTGTATTTAATTGTATTTTACCTATTGTCCCAACTTCTTGAAATTGGGTTAAGGCAGCTGCTTCATTCAACAGCTTTTAAGTACAGGTAACGTACTGTCCATGGTAGCCAACTGTATGCAACAAACGCTGCAGAGTGACATTATGGTGAAAAACACTGGAGTATTCATTTAATCCATCATTAGGGAACCAGTCATAACTTGCTCTTGCAGATTCTGTCCTTGAACTACATATCCTATAAATCCTATAAGACAAAAATGTACTGTTAAAAAAAACATATACATGAACTAGTGAATTAGCACTGTGCACTGAAACATTAATTCATATAAAGAATAGATAGCTGGGTGTATTTTTTTAAAGGTAGTAGATCATGTTGTACTTTACCCTCATAATGGCCTGCTTTAGATTTTTTTTTAAGGTTCAATGCTTATTTGGTGTCTTAAGTTACAGTTTATCACGGCAGGACAGGCATAAGCAGTGCTGAAAGTCAGCCAAGCACTACGGGTCAAAGGCCAGTGAAATAAACACAAACAAGGAGAACAACTCAGTAGAGTTTTAAAGAGTGCTGGAGGTGCATTTTGCTCCGTGTCACAGAGTGTGCAGACAGAATGCTGACCAACTGATAGTTTGACCTGGTCACAATCTGTTAAGTTTGCTTAGTCCTTTCAGTTTATACATTCCACCCCTTTTGAACCTTGTCTCTCAGCTTTTCACAAGACTTAACAACAGTATATACACTGCACCAGCTAAATCTGACAAAATGTCTTTAACATTAACATGATAATAAGCACATTACTAAACATTACTAAAGTGACTGGATGTAGATCTTTTTTTTCGAGCATGGTATTGGGTAATACAAAAATAAAGTGTGAAAGATAACATTATTTTTACATATGTCAAGATACTACTGATACACTAATTAGGTCTGAAGTTCTTCATTTGATTGGACTTATTAGTCTAATAAAAATCATACTTTTAAATAAAAAAAAAACTTTAAAGCCAAACAGTTTGTATATTATGCTAATACTGTATGCTTAAGGAACAAGACTACGTGAATCTAGTCCTTATCAATCAGTGACAACTTTAAGTCAATGATTACACCATTTTTACGGCCCCAAACCCCCCAAAAAGTTACTGCAAAGTGTTCATCCCACCACACACGTTTGGCAATCTGATGGGCCCAACTGTGTTATGCTAAGACTTTAACTAGACTTTAGTAACAAGGGCTGCACTTGGGTAAAGTTCTGAGCATGAGCAGCAGCCAACTAATTATCAAAGCTTTGTGCCCTACGGGTTAGGTGACTACTTCAGTTTGACTACTTTACAGTGGAAGCTGATATCACGATACTTCAAGACATTTTCACTGTGCACAATATGGAAGATTTAAGCTGCATCCAAAACCACATACTACTATACTACACATACCATACTAAAGGGTTAGAAGTGACACAAAAAATGCACCAGTAGTGCAACATTTAAAAAATCATTTTAAAACAAAAGGATTTACTCATTTCACATACTGTGCTGCACTAAATTCAATTAAACAAAACGAATTATCCTCTCTTAAATTGAAACTTGGAGCTGGTCAGTGTCAACGAGGTGCTCAGAGAAGCATACTGTGATGCAATGTGACGTCATTTATCACGAAAACTAACACTGTCGTCATATTTCACTGAGTCTACTAAGTTTACTGAGTTTAAAGGCAAGCGGGGACTACTGGTCGTTTGGTGGATAAATAACGTTAAGCAACCGGCCAGCGAGGAAGAGAAGGTGGTAAAACTAGGATTTGCATTTTTTACCATGTGCAGTAAGAATTCAGCAAATTCAGCAGAACGCAGCAAGTCAGCAATCTGACTTCTGCACTCAATAAAAGGGGTTTGAATCAAACACAAATGAAAACTCCTCTGAACTGATCAGCAGAGTTTTGAAATGCATTATGATTTTTATCACCACACGTAACTCAGCAGTACGTATAAAGGAGTTAAACCACGAAGCTTCAGTTGGCTTCTTATTTGAAATTCCCGTTCCGCCTTAAATGCTGCAGGAGTTACAGCAGTTACATTCTGGCGCCTGAGGCTTAAATGGTGCAGCAGTTACATTCTGGCACCATTTAAGGTGGACCGGGAAATTCGAATAGGAAGCCAACTTCAGGCTCGTGGTTAAAGCTGAATTAGAAAACACAAACACCACCAAATGAACGGCATTAGCGCTCTGCTGCTGCCGCGGCGTGCTGCTACACACAGACACCACAACCCGGTAACGTGCTGCAGGTATTAAACTCAACCATTACTGATCACAGAGTGGAGAGCGCAACAATAGAAAGTACTTACAGTAAGTTAGGACTCGTTATGACACTTCAGCTCCGCTGGGTTTGTGACTGTAGCACTAAAACGTGCTCCCAGCTGCCACCCGATGATGACGTGCTGAAGGGGTTAGTGACCACGTGGCAGCTCGTCTTCCAATCAGGGCCAGGGGCGGATCCTTCACTAGGCGGCTTCTGAATAATACATGATAGACTGGATATGATAAAAACTGCACATATCATAAAGTTGCATGTTGAGTATGAGACATTTGCATACCTGGAGTTTGATTTGCAGTGTTTTAGTAAAAAACACCACTGCAGGAGACCTAGTGCAGAAGAAGTGCAGTGTTTCTCACTTTTTTAAGCCATGTGAAAACAAACACAATAACTTCATAATAACAAAAATCATAATAACTGCATTTAACTCTGTATGGGTAGCTATGACGACATATCTTGCTTCTTTTTTTAATCGTAGATTCACACTCACTCACTGTTTATAGTGACGCAATCGCCCTTCTTCCCGTGTCGACGTCATCATCATCCCTCCTTCCTTAGAAACGCTGGAGAAGACACAAGCACAAGATGGTGAGTTAAATCCCTGATAATAACGCTTTCTTTTATTTTGTGGATTAACGTTGTGTAGGTGTAGAGCGGAGCAGCTGTTATTTTACGACAACAGCTGAATCCGATGATACTGACAGTGTAAAAACTGCACATTTGTAGAAGCGGTGATATCTGCACAGATATGAATAAGAATCAGCAGCGGTTGTAAATCACGGATGAGATTAGCTTGCTAACCACTTAGCTAATAGCTAACGTTAGGTAAGTGTCAGTAGTGTTGGCCACTAGAGGTGTTGAGTGCACTCTGTCTCAGAGCATTAGCGGTTTTCAGTCGTCAATGTAAGGACGAACCAAAGAAAGGAAAAAGGGCCTGGTTTGTGCCTCTTCACACCATAAAACTGAAGAATGGGGCTCAACGTGATAACTCAAGCTTGTTTTTTTGTGTGGTAGGCAGCATCTTAGATAATGTTTCTGCTCAACTCTGCTGTGTCTTATTTCAGGGTTTGCTGTCGATTTTGCGAAAGCTGAAAAGTACTCCGGACCAGGAGGTTCGCATTTTGCTTCTTGGATTGGACAACGGTGGTAAAACCACCCTGCTTAAACAGCTGGCATCTGAAGATATCAGTCACATTACTCCAACACAGGTCAGCTACACTGTGCTCAGATGGTTCAGGTCCTCTCTGATCATCGTGATCTGTTTAGTCTGTTTAGTGAGACTGAATGAACACATTGTGCTGCTTTGTGTTTTTTTTGTTAGATAAATAGTTTGGGGAATGTATGACATCCAGGGTTTGGATGTAACAGAATACGAGTATTGGGAATAAGTTACACATTCAGAATACAATAGTTAAGTATCTGTATTCAGTCCAAGTTACATTTGAAAAAGCAATAGCCAGCCATTTCTAGGACTTTTTGTTTTAGAGTACTTACCCACTAAATAAAAAAAATGCAGACCTCAAATAATCTTCAAAGAAACACCATCAGTGCTTGTTTGTTAACTATGGCATGTCGCAAACATGCCTGTTAAATACATTTTAAAGAGGACCTCAGTTAACAGCTTTTTTACAAACACTGACTTTCGAGTTAAAGCCTGAGTAGACTGATAAATCAATCATTATTAATCTCAGTGTTACTTGGCTCTTTTGAGATATGATTAAACTAACAATTTTAGTAGTAGACATGATGTGAGTGTTGCATCAGTGTTGTACTGGTCTCCTGCCCAGGGGATTGTAGGAGCAGTGAAAGCAGAGGGGGAAAAAAGCTTAGAATTTTTGGAACTTAATTTAAATTATAATTTAATTGATAATTTTTCATGAAACATAGTAACAGAATAATTAGCTACATTAAGAAAACTGCCAGCCAGTAACAAGAAGGAACAATGTGAATTAGGTAAAAGAAAAAGAAAAAAGATTTCCCCGTGTGCCTTACTAAGATGTACTGTAAATGTATTCTAAATGGATTCTTCATACCTTGAGTTTTATGTATTTTAATGGAGTGTGATACATTAGGACCGTGCATTCAGGATTCAGCCATCACTTCTTTTTCATAGTCTTTAACCCAAACCTGATTTTATCACTACATTAGGCTGCATTATATGTGCTGCATGTGTCATGGCCTTGTTATAGGGGTTCAACATCAAGAGTGTGCAGTCTCAGGGTTTCAAACTGAATGTGTGGGACATCGGTGGACAGCGCAAGATTAGGCCCTACTGGAGAAACTACTTTGAAAATACGGATCTTCTAGTGAGTGTTAAGACATTTAATGTGCATGCATTTTTTAATTACTTGTAAATGCAGTTCAAGTTTTTCTATGAAACATTAATAAGTCAATCTGAAAAATCTCTGTTTCAGATTTACGTCATCGACAGTGCAGATCGCAAGAGATTTGAAGAAACAGGACAGGTAGTGCTGTGTGCTTGGATACAGCCCTTAACCATTATTGAAAAATGTGAAAACATATATCATGCCATTTATACTGTGTGTTATCTTCACAGGAGCTGGCTGAGTTGTTAGATGAGGAGAAGCTCAGTGGGGTCCCGGTTCTCATCTTTGCAAACAAGCAGGACCTGCTTACTGCAGCTCCTGCATCTGAAATTGCTGAGGGACTGAATCTGCACACCATACGGGACAGAGTGTGGCAGATCCAGTCCTGTTCAGCTCTCACTGGAGAGGGTGTGCAGGTGATTATGAAATATGTTTGAGCAGAGGAAGATGTAGAAACCTTTGCTTTTCTGACAAATGGAAAATCTTGCATGGGTGTAGTTTGAGGTTTTGAACACAAACTTGTATATCATAAAAATATTCTGTTTCGTTTCTGTTTTAGGATGGAATGAACTGGGTCTGTAAGAGCGTGAATGCCAAGAGGAAGTAGAGCTGCATATTCCCACTGCAGTCCCTCCAGGGAATCCAGTGTGTACCTCTGAATGTACAAACAATGCATCCACACAGCTTTGAAACACTTAAACATTATTGGAAATTAAGGCACCTCACAGAAACAAAGTTTATGTTTCATATTTGCCTGTCCCTTGAGGCCCACTGTGCTCAAATGAAATTTGCACAAGGACCTCAAGCCTATTTTTATATTCCCAAACCCCAGAATTATTCTTTCTTAAACATTGATCTGTCATTCGAACATAACATTTTATGAACCACAAATTTATCAGCGTGTTTGTTTAAAAAAATATATCATTGTTAGATTCATGTTTAGGCTTTTTTGAAGCAGCATGATCTTTGGTACGTTCTTGAATAAATACATTCTGCCTTCATATTCTAGGATGGTTTTGCACTGAATGTCCAAATATATATTTAGTGAAATCTGATACTGTGACATATTTATACTTTTGAAATGATAATCTACATTTTCCATCTTTTTACAGAACCACAAGCCTTGCTTCACAGTAGGTTATGTTTGTGACTGATGTTTCTATGACATGAAGTTCTTGTTGCTCCATCTTTTGATGTATTATTTTTGACTATATTGTTCTTTTTCTGAGTATATTTTTGTAACGGAGTGTAGGATGCTTTAATATCGCTTTGTGTTTCATAGAATGCCAGAGAAGGTTGTGTGTCCAAACTCAATAGGAAAAGGAATATGTAAACAGGTCAGAATATGAAGTTCTTATATAATAAAATGGAGGCCAGCAAAATATTTTCTGCAAACACTGTGGAAGGTGTATTGCAAACATTATATAAAGCAGTTATTGTAAGTAACAGCTTCATTAGAAAGTTGGCAATTTGAGATTAAACATTTTTCCTTTTTTCTTTGAATCTGTTGCTGTTGTATGACTGAAGCTACGCAAAGTAAACATTAAAAAAAAAACGAGGTGATGTTTCTATTTTTTTTTTATTTATTTATTTAAACTTTTTCTTTAACGTTTGTCCTACCCCTCCTTGTTGTCCATTGTTCTCCCAGAGGTCATATATTTGCCTCTCCCTGCTACCATCCCCCATTAAGCAATGAAACAGATGGTGTTGACAGAACTCAGGTGGTTTTCTATGCACTGCAGCCCACCTCACCTACATCCTACATCTGTTTACTTATCTAACGTATTTCAAAATCTTACGGTTGTTGTTTTCCCTATTAGAAAATTAAATCCAAGGTAGTTGGTTGTTCTGTCACTGCAGGGTCACTGCAGATGGCGCCACTGTCAACAAACTGCTTTTACCTGCATGTTCATTTGCTAATATACAATATGTGGTATGCATGATAGCATTCATCGGAAGAAGTGGCAGTTTCAATGGTCCATAATGTGATGTAAGTACTAATTTTATTTAAAAAATAGCACAGTTGGAAAAATAAATGCACTGGCTCTGATGTTCTGCTGTAACTGAAGTGCAGAGTGTCATTAGATATCACATACAGTTTTTGCCCCAGCCCTAAATAATCTGGTTTCATTTTTTCAGATTCAAGATTAAGCTTTAACACATTAATGTCCATGTCTGCTTGTTTAAATGTGGTCCTGCTCTCCTGGCGAATAAACCTGAAGACATTTTCTAAATGATCAAACATAATCATGGCTAGTATCACTTTATTTGTTATGTTAAAGTCTGTTGGTCATGTGGGACTACTGAGTTTTAACAATACAATATGCAGTACTATGCAAAAGTCAGAGACCACCATTCATTTATTTCCAGTCAAAACAGCCTTTAAGCAAAAGTTATTCATTTTACACAAAAGCCTCAACAAATATGCTATTTTTTTTATTTTTACTCTCTCTCCATATATGTGTGTGTGTGTGTGTGTGTCTGTGTGTGTGTATTTACACACATATATGTCCACACCTCCAAGCTTCAGTCTTAGTTGTTTGTCTTTTCTGATTCCTACAAACCAAGTAATCCCAAACACATTCAATGATGTTGAGGTCTGAACTTTGCAGTAATCACTCTTGTTTTGAGAACACCAGCGGCTTCTTTGTTTGTTTTCCAAATTTCCTTTTTTTGTCTGTTTCCTTTATCAGTACTCAGTGTCAACGGCACCTCCTTTCAGACTCATAGTGTTGTGTTGTCTTCTAACAGTGGAAGGATGGACAGAAACACCTGTGGATTTTTTTAAGCAATAGTGGAGCTTGATTTTCTCCCCTCTCTCGAAGATGAAAGCTTTAAGTGCTGTTTATCTGATGGTGACAGTTTTGGTGGTCTACAATGTCTTGCATGTTTATTAGAAGTCACATTTCCTCTGTATCTTTTTGGAAACTTTTTTTTTCACTCATTTTCCTTTCTCCTTGTGACTTTCTTCTTGCTTGTGCACATGTATTGTCTTATACCTAATCTCCTCAGAAATCTCTCCTGAAAATGAATAACTTGTACTGAATAGCTGTTTTGACTGGAAATTAAATGAATGAAGGGTGGTCTCTGACTTTTGAACAGTACTGTAATAAAAGCATAAATACAGTGAGTACTGTTAGATGTTCTGACAGTATAACTATAGAACATTTTATCAGTTTAGACCAAACAAAACAAGTTCTGTGGGCTTTTAACTTTGTGTCTTTTTTAAATTTAGTTGTTGGACATAATTGGGTTAATTAATGAAACCTGATTCAAAGTGTTGGTGCAGTGAGTGTATTAAATGTTTGCTAACAGTACAAAACAGACTTTCTCCCTTTAAGAACAGAATCATGTTTTGTTTCTTGTTCATGCTATTAAAATGGAAAGAACAGATGAAGACAAACAGAAGTATTTATAGTACTGTTCCTTCCTGTCATCCTCCCTCTGTTTCCTCATAATTTTGAGTATATTACTTTAATGGGGCCCTGAGAGATATTTGAACTGTGCCTGCACTTGCTGAATAGTTAATGGCCTGCTTGCTTGAATGTGAACACACCCTTCCAATTGCACTGATTCCACACACTCGGCTCCTTTGAGTGACACTCTCAAGCTGACACATGCACTCTCTCGGTGAGACGTGCAGGCTTTATTAAGCCTGAATAAATCCTCTGAGTATCCGTCTCTCTGAGACAGGCAATTAGACTGGCCTCCCTACATCTCTCTGCATCCTCGCCAGCGAGCCAGCTCTCATCCAGCATTCTTATCTGCGGGCTTTTCCTTCCATCTGCCCCGTAGACAAGCCAGAATGAAAAGCCTGATAGAACACTGGCCTTTTTTGAATTCTGTTCATTGAAGAAAAGGCCCTTTTGTAATTCTGTCTGTGATGTAAATGGCTGGTCTTGAAGCGAGGGAGTTTTTGATGGACACAGCCTGAGATTTTTGTGATGTGTATCAAAGTTGTGGGTGGATGGATTACCACTGGGTGCAAAAAGCAAAGGGCTGTGGGAATGCATAACAAGTATTATGCTGGATCTACAGGATCAGATGGGGAAAAAAGACCCATTCATTTTCAACCACAAAAATATTGCTTGTCATATTAGAGACATTACATTGGATTTCAATAGTTTAAATCAAAATCTGATCCTTCTGCATGTGAATGAATTTTGATCTTATTGAAATTGCCTGTAAAAGTCATTCTAAAACCATCAATCAGCCATTAACCTTGAATTCAGAATAATATATTTCATGCTGATGGTGCTTAATCAAGTTAGGCTAGCCTTCTTCTTTTAAAGGAGGATCATTATTCAAATATAAATTGAATCACTTTTATTTGGGAATATCTGTCACAGGAATGGCTAAAGAAATCTCTTCCGAAAGCTATTTTACCAGAACATAGTCTGTTCTTGCCATTGCCAGCACATCTTAAATAATAAACACTAAAAATATAGTGCAGTAATAATGATATACATCACTTTGTTGACACAGAATAATTTTCCAAGGATTGTGCACCTACAGAAGACCCATTATAGTATGCAGACAATAATAAAATTGTAAACATAAAAAGATGACAAAACATCTGTAATATGTACATCATCCTAATGCTGACATTTATAAAGAATAAACTGTTCATGGATCGTCTAAAGGCTCTTTCTCTGAACAATACTAAGAACACTCTGATATTAGCCCTAATATTGCTTACTAATTTATCTCATTAATTTATCTTAGATTTTCCAGGGCCCAATTTTCTTCATTTCTTTTAGAACCCACTGACATCAATTTTATCCATGTTTCTTTTGGCTAACTTTATTGTCCTTGACTGCTGACTGGGCATCTGGACCTAGATCCTAACAAACAGAATCACTGCAAACCGAAGATACTGTGATATCTACGATGTAATGGTTGGCCCTCAATTGTGGACCCAAACTTTCCATTAGAAGTGGCACCAGCGTCATATAATTTTTACAAAATAGAGACCCCACTATTTAAACAAACTTATATCTGCTTGCAATAATAACATTTGTTCTGAGTTTGAAAGCACCTCATAGATTCAGTAAACCAAGATCTCTACTTTTTGAAAAGTAGATGAGACTGTTAGAAACCTACAAGCATGTAATAATACAATACACACATACATACTTTATCTAAGCCGCTTATCCTCCTGCATTTACGGGGATAATACAATATACATAAACATATCAGTTCAATATCTATGGGGACCACATTGATCTATTTAACCATGGAAACTCAGTGGCACATATTTTTATCAGCACATAAAAACGGCATTGTTAGGGGTCCAAGCACTTTGCACTGGAATTTTCAGATTTTTCTTCTCTTCTTTTCTGTCATACAGAATGATGGGTGGCAAAGGCTATAAGGTAAGGCATTGAAACAGCAAATTTCCTTCCCACCACTCAAGCGAGAGAAGTGACCTGAATTGGTTTAATGTTGCTGTGACCACCGCATTAGTGCAATCAATTGACGCAGTTTGTAGGGATTAATAGCTATGGTAATAGCTATTAATAGCTAATGTATGTTTTTTCTAGTTAGCACTGTTAGTTTCTTCGAATTTCTTCTATTGCATCATATCCAAGTATCTTTCAAAAGCCGCCCAACAGCAGTCTGTAATGGATACTGTAACAGCTATGAAATATATTGTAGTGTCAGCACAGAGGAAGCCACAAGGGAGGACATGATTCCACCATGAGAAGTGTTCTTTATTAAACACCAAGGCAGAAAGGCACAAACAGAAGCACAGACTCACAGGGGAGGTCACTACTAGCCATACACTTTACCCTCATGGTGACCACCAACCCACACTGACTAATCCCACTCACTGACACAGAACAACACAAGAAACACATACCACATACATTTAACTGACAAACAACAACATAAACAACATTTAAGTCCTTTTTATTACATTTATAAAGGGCAGGTGCCTCACATGAGCCTCCTGACCTCATGAGTGTCTAGAGGCCAGCGTCAGGCAGTAGCGGATTGCTACAATAGAAATGTACGAAACAGACCATTTTGCTTGATACATTTGAGTGAAACTGGCTGGAGGGATATTTACAACAGCTAAAAGCTGTCACCATGGTCTCTTCTGCATTACCTGCGCTCCTGTCACAACACCCTGTGGTGGAGAGGTATTCTGAACGATAGACCAAATTCAGTGGACTGTCACATTAGCCAACCAGCAGTGCAGAAAAATACTAGGTTAGAGTGCTGGACAAAACACTACTGAACAATTGAGTGACTGTTGCTAGGCAAAATGAACTTGTTGTTTTAAAACAATTAGCCACATATTCTCCAGATGCCTGAAAAAATTAATGGAAAATTAAAAATAAATAAACACAATTCATGCAAAAATGGCACACAGATCAGTTCTGATGAGTATCCACAAAATGGGTTTATACAGTCCTATGCATGAGTCGGGGAGCCCTGGTCAAACTGAAAATAAGTTTACACATTCTCTAGACAGAACACACTTCTATACTACTTTTTTTGCACAATTACTGTTTATTGGTTCAATTAACATTTTGGAAAAACAACGTGGCCTG